CATGTCTTCCAGCTCTCTACCTTCCTTCTCTGCATCATGTCAGCCAGTGCTCTACCTTTGCCTGTCATTGTCCTCACATTTAGAATTGCAACCCTCAGTCCTACATTCTTGATTTTCTTCATCTCCCTCTGTCTGCTGACACGTTTCTCCTCATGATCTTCGTCTAATAACAGTAGCACAGTTTCGGCACCCTGTTTGTCAACATGTGGCAGTCGTTGTTAACCCGGGCCTCGACTGATCTGGTATGGTGTCGCTTAGATGAACTCGCATATTAGTTTTGGCAAAAGTGTTTGACGTCAGACGCCCTTCCTGACACAACCCTCAACATTTACCCGGGTTTAGGACAGGCACAAGATACACTGGCTTTTTCTCCCTGTGGCTGATTTAACCTAAGTGAACAAAACCATAGCAGAAATGTAGCTAAAAGCTAAAATGAGGAAAAAACTGTGAAACAGTAGCTAAAAATTTTATGTTGCAAAACTGTGAATAAGCACTCAAATTACTCTACTCTGCTAAAAGTTAAATTTAGCATATCTCGGATGTGTGGAAGCCCAGGAACATCTTTTGCTTTTAGCTGTTTGCAGTTATCTCTGTTCAGGGCTGAAAAGCTTCTGAAGGATGCTGCTGCTGCAATCTGAGGCAAGCGATGTTTAAATGGTCAAGAAAGGTCATTAAACTTGTGAAAACCAGTGGTCGTAATGTTTTGGGCTGATTGTGTATAAAAAACCTCCACTGGCTCCAACATTTAGTGGAAATGCAAACTGTACTGGACTTATTTACTGGTTTTGTTCTGATTCAGGTAAAACTTGCAGATTAGACACATGTAATCCCACATGTAACCCCTTTAAGGTTTTGAAGTGAACTTAGTGAAAGTTGTACAATGATCAGTGTTTCAGTGTGAGGAGGTCACCTCGCCCTGCAGAAACGCATCCAGCAGTTTTTACTCCTTATAAGGAGCGAGGGATTCACGAAGCATCGCACTTTAACCCAACTTTGAATACATTTATTTTGTATTTGTCCTATTTTAAAATCAATGAGATCAACGGGAAATATGGAAAATGTCCCTCAGCAGGTGAAACTTTAGAGCAAGTGGGCTAGGAAATTAAATTAAAAAGACAAACTTACCAAGGACGTTTGAAGCTGAAGACAAAAGGAGAAACAGGAACATTACACGATCTGATGAGGTCCCCATGGCTGGAGGAGAACCGAGCCAGTTCTTGGTTCTGATCTGCAGTCTGGTTCTTCCTCCTCTCAGCTGAAGATCTTCAGCCTTTCTGACAAGCTGAGACCCGTTTGGGCCGAGACTCCAACAGCTGATGGGCGCACGGATTTATCTCCTGCCCGATGATTGCGCAAAGTTGTATTACTGTATTTTATCATGAAGTGATGAACATGTTGTTCTTTACTTTGCAAAACTTAAAAGTAGAAAATATGTTATCATCAGTTTAATGCCAGAGACAAAAAGAACATTAAACTAATCCTCTAACACGAGACAAACACATGGATCATGAGACTTTTAGGAAATTTAAGCCTTTTCCAGGAAGCCCACCATCAACTTCTAATCCTATTTCTTCTCGTCATTTATTATTTTTCTGGTTAGAATGATAAGTAAATTATTTCAAGCAAAGTGTAGTTTTAACAATTCATTTATCACCAATTAAATGCGTAGGTTTGATCAAAACGGTTTAGATTTACATCCTGTTGCGTGTGAACTGATTTGCGTGAAACAGCGCCCTCTGCTGCACCAAGTGGGTAACTGCAAGAAACATTTGTGGAGCGCAACTACAACTGCCAACAACTTTCCCCTCTTTTCAGGTATTGCACAAAAATATACAACTTATTTGATTACAAATGACGAAATATGGTTTAAAATATTAGACTTTAACCGTATAGAGTTCTTCTTTGGTCATTATTTGTTTAATTAATAAACTGAATTGAATTTAAATAGCCTCTATTTAATCAGACAAATCCCACTGGCTTGTTTAACTTCACACATTTGAGTCTGTTTTATTCAAATCATTTAGTTTATTTGATATAAAGAATTCAAATCCTTCTGACTTAATTTTATGGAAAGTCAACTCAAAGTTTTGAGAAACTACACATGAGAAGTGAGGGACAACTGCTGAGTGATAAATATTAAGAAAAGTCCTGACGACACGTACGAGTTCACACGTTTGTCTTTCAGATACACCTGGACCTATACCTGGACCTATACCTGGACCTGGACCTATACCTGGACCTATACCTGGATCTATACCTGGACCTGGACCTGGACCTATACCTGGACCTATACCTGGACCTATACCTGGGCCTGGACCTATACCTG